CCTATTAGATATGCATACTTTTCAAATCTTTCTATTGTGTTATGTAGCCTCAGTATTAGGCCTTCAATGCCCATTGACAAAATTTTTCTATGTCGAATCGTTTTTGAGTTGTGGGGGTTTTTGTTAAAAAAACGAAAAGTGGTCTAAGTTACCCCGCCGGTCTAAGTTACCCCATTTTACGGTACCAATTAAACCCAGTTTAGGCAAGGGGCTTTATGGACTAGCTTCCAGTGCTCCTATAAGAATAAATTAGAAAGAAAGAAAGAAGACTCATTGCCCACTGTTTCATTGCCACAGCATGTGACAAGTGTCCGGTGGACCGGTACTAGTTGATGACACTTTCCTGCCTGGAGTGCTCTGGCTTGTGGCTGGGACCAAGCTTTCTCCTGTTGCCCCCAACTAATGACTGAGATAAGGCTGAGCAGTGCATTAGCACTCGAAGCCTTCAAATCAAAATCATCACAGCCTGCAGGACTGCAGCCACAGCCTCATCAGCCTGCAGTCCTGCACCGTGTGGCGTGTATGCAAATTATACACCAAGCCTGGTGCCTGGATGTGTTGAATGTTGGAAATTTGCATGCAAGATCAATTCTATCAGAATTTATTGTGTTGCAGCGCAGCAGCGGTTGCCTGTTAGCCTACTAAGGCTACTATTAGTTTCGATGTCTATTAATGTATTATGGTCTTTCAAGTGTATCAAGAGTGAATAGGTACTATAAGTAAAAGTCTATTTAGTGTGCAAAGTGTTACAAAACAGACTGGCAGCGGTGGGATTCGAACCCACGCCTCCGGAGAGACTGGAGCCTAAATCCAGCCTTCCAGCGCCTTAGACCACTCGGTAATACTAAGTTACCTATAGAGGATAGACCAGTGAAGTGTCTCAATCAAGGATCTCAGCATCATCATATGTAGTCAAAATGTAGATATTAATTTGAATAAATTTATGAACTAGATACCGTAAAATGGGGTACTAACTTAGACCGGCGGGCGGCAGGTAACTTAGACCACTTTTCGTTTTTTTAACAAAAACCCCTAAAACTCAAAAACTATTTCACATAGAAAAATTTTGTCAATGGGCATTAAAGGTCTAATACTGAGGCTAAATTAACGGCTAATGCAATAGAAAAATTTAGAAAGTTTGTATATCTAATAGGCTAAAAAATTAAAAATGTGACCCACAAAAAAAAAACTATTATTTAAAGCCTGTCAGAGTACCCCCTCCAATTTTTTATTTTTTGGTTAGATAACTCCAGGTTTTAACATAACATAACATAATGATGTCGGCGCTGAAATGTAGGCCTGATGTGGCCTGTCGCCGATTCTTTTCCTTTTCGTGCCTTGTTCATAGATCTAAAC